ATCCCCTTTTGTTGCCAGTTCAGTGGTCCAGGTGGTTGAGTATCAGAGGGTTCCATCTCATTTCCCTTTGGGGTTGCTGTAGGTGATCTGGAAGTCTAGTTTTGAGACTTATTTATGTGTTTTCTCATTTGGACTGGGGCGGGGGCTGTTAGCGCCTGCACGGATTACCTCCTTTGAGCTGGGTGAGGTGGGACAGGGGCCGGGAGCAGTGGTAGGGATTGTGACCCAAAAGCCCTTTCCTGTGGGCTGGGAGCAGCTGGAGGGATGGCGGCCGGGAAAGCCCTTCCTCTGGGCCAGGAGCAGTGGGATGGTGGCTCAGAAACCCCTCCCTCTGGGCCGGGAGTGGTGGGAAGGATGGTGGCCCGGAAGCCCCTTCCTCTGGGCCAGGAGCAGGGGGACAGAAGGTGGCCCAAAAGCCCTTTCTTCTGGGCTGGGAGCAGCAGCAGGTTTGGTGACCAGGAAGGCCCTTCCTCTGCACCAGGAGCAGTGGGACGATGGCTCAGAAGCCCCTACCTCTGGGCCGGGAACAGTAGGACTCAGTATCTTGGTCTGGTGGTCTGGTGTCCTCTGCGCCTTGGTCATGTGGAATCAGGTGGCTGCCTGTCTGCAGTGGGGTGATTCGGTGTCTTCCGCGTGACTCAGGACCTCGGTAGGGCGTGCACAGAACTGCCTGTCTGCAGCGGGCTGATTTGGCGTCTTCTGCGGGACTGGGGACCTCGGTAGGGCATGGGCAGACCTGCCTGTCTGCAGTGGGTTGATTTGGCGTCTTCCTCGTGACTCAGGACCTCGGTAGGGCATGCACAGACCTGCCTGTCTGCAGCGGGCTGATTCGGCGTCTTCCGTGTGACCTGAGCTTTTTATTTTATTTCATATAAGGAGAGGAAAAAAATTCTCACATTTTAGAAAAGCACTGTCTAATGAAAATATGCAAGCCAAATATGTAATTTTAAGTTTTCCTAATAGTCACTTTAAAAAAAAAGTCCCACAAACAAAGCTCAGGTAGAATTAATTTCATTAACATTGTCTATTTTATTTAACTCAATATATCCAAAATCTCATTATTTCATTATACAATTAATATAAAAATTATTGAGCTATTTTACTTTTGTTGTTACTAAGTATCTGAAATCTGGCACAAATTTTATTTTTTAAAAGAATTTTAAAGTAATATGAGTAGATATTGAAAAGA